TTTTAAGTTTGGTTTAATTTCTCATTCACCTAACAAAAAATTCCACTTAAACAATCACTTAAATTGGTCACAACCAATTTCGAATTTTCCAACAATTCCATCTACAAATATTTTGTTTACTTCGAAGCAATACTTTTTTTACGGCTCTCAAAGAGAATTTAAACATCAGTAATACTAAACGTGAATGAGATAGAAGTGAGAAATCAAATATTCTACATAGACGGTTGGTTATCACAACATTTTATCTAAAAGTTAGACCGACTACCAAAAGCAAGTTGATAATTATTACATACTTAGCTCCTGTTTGATCCACATTATTTTTTTCATTTTCATTCTTCTACTCATTTTCAACCCACATTCTTCATAAAATAATATTTTATATCACATCAATAACTTTTCCTTCTTTTTCAATCACACATTCTCCATCAATCTACTATTCTAAAATACATTCTTCTAAAATAATGTGGCTCAAACACACCCTTATTTAACAATTATTGTGGAAGTGTGTTATGGTCCCATCCCACTAAAGAAAACACTGACTCCTAGGATTACTTGGCCCACTATCTTAATTAAGTTTGGATGTTTTTCAACAATTGGACACTTTGTATCCAAAAGATTCTAAAAAAAAAACTATGTAAATAAAGAAAAGAATGATTTGGCACATCATGTTTAGCCATAATGTTCTATCTTTTCTTCTGAAGTGTTATTTTCTTTGGTGACTGACCTTTTGTTGGTGGAGTCTTTTATTGGGTGCAAACAAAAATTCCCATTGGACAAGCAAAAATTGGTTCATAACAAAGATTTTAACCAAAAAGATAGAATTGTATTCCTTGTCCCGGCAACGCATCATTCAATTTTCAGTCCTATCAACTTTTGATGGTAGAATAGTAACCTACTATGATGGTGACGATTGATGGAGAATTAAGGTTCGATTTTGAAGAGGGAGCATTGGAAATAGCTACCACATTCTTGGAAGACAGCACAATTACCTAATCCTATTGTTAATTTGTACATCTTTTGCACTTGTGTCTTCCTTTTTCATTTTTGGGAGCGCTATCTTAATCTTTTACTTTTATGTGTACGTTTCTACTGATAAAAACTATCCAACATGACAATTAATTTTACCTAAATAGGGGAGTTTACCCTCTATGTTAACTAAATAAAAAAGAGAAAAGGAAAAATAAATAAATAAATAAAGGGTTCAAAGCGAGATGGAACAAGTTTAAACATGACTCG